ACCCTGCAGGAATACCAGGACATGGTGCAGGTGGGAGATTAGCCCGGCCAGAAGAGTTAATTATGTCAAGTTAATTAGAAAACTGAAAAAGCAAAAAGCAGCTGAGTTTGTGATGAATTTCCACTTTTACCTAATAATTCTGCACTCAAACACACATTCATAGTTTATAATAGATTATAAGACAGAAACTTTTGAAAATGCAGGTAAAAATATTAAATTGTAAACTTTTTAATGTACCAAAAATAATGTGAAAAATAATTAAGTTCCAGCTTCTCTGATCGAGCGGTTTGAATGTTTCCTACAGGTCAGAGCAAGAGATTTACAGAAATGACAGGAAATTAAAAAAATGGAATAACTGAATAATCTAACCAGTAAAAATGCTGCTCTTCCAAAACAATGTGGTGCTTCGATTTTTAGAAATTGCTTCTAATCAGTGCTGGCTGGAAAATGAAATCATGGCCATAAGCTGCCTCCGGTTTGTGACCCTAAAGCTTCACATCACAGCCACAACAAATCTGAGCCGTTCATTCTGCTTTTTCACCAGAGTCAGCAGGAGAGTCACAGTCGGACGGTGTCCTCTCTGACGGCTCGGCTCAGAGACGCTTGGCAGGAGCTGAGGGAGAAGGAGAAGGAGAAGAAGGAGGCGGACCGAGCGCTGCAGAACGACAGGGAGGACAGAGAGCGGGGCGAGAGGAGACTCAGGGACAGCCTGGAGAAGAGGGACAAACTCATCGAGGTAAAGAAGCAATTCGTGCCATTCTGCAGCGTTTTAGGCAGCTACTCTGAACGCCTCAAATAATAATAAAAGCTTTAAAATATTTTGCATCTGTGTCGAAATAAATATTAAAAAGCTTTTCATCCCCAGGAAGATGCACTTGTGCTGCACATGCCAGTGTCTCAGAACATTTGAGCTTCATTAACAGCTCAGTACCAACGCTGTCAGCGTTTTTGCTCAGCCAATGAGAACGCTGAACCACTTTATGCACCTGGCAGCTTGATTGGAGGCCATGTTTGTTGAATCCACCCACAGATTTCTGTTCAGGATTCTTTGAGTGCCCCATCTGCTCTCTTTGATAATAATACTGATACTTGATGTTTCTTTAATATTTATTGTTGGGCAAATAATAAGAAGTGCGTGAGTGCCAGTGTTTGTGTATATCCTTGCTGTCATATATGTGAAGACAGAGCACCTGATACAGGGCCTAAGATTTGTAGTGAAAGCACTGCTGCTTACGTCTGCTGCTGATAGACTCCTCACACGACTGCAGCAAAGAATCTGTTCTTTCTTGCGTTCTTTAAGCTTCGTTTTGACCAAAATATTACAGAAAGTATGGAAACACTGCACTAATTTAGGAACTTCTCAAACTTATGAACCTTT